GAGAAAAACAAGTTGAAACAGTAAGGAATATTATTACATTTAAAAACCACTGCTAAAGATTTATTCTACAAGCGTTGTAGAATTTAAGAAGGGTAAGATATTTAAGCAGATTTTTAGAAATTAGCCATTCAGTTGTTTTTACAAAAMCTTTGTATTTGGTATACTTTTTTAGGACAAACTGATAACTAGTATATGGATATCAGCAAATGCTGAGATCAGAGGAATACCTTTTTGTTTAATTGTAACAAAAATAATCTCAGTTAATCTGAAGAAAGATCATATGTACAGTAGTATTCAAACACCATGTAATCAAGCTAGGGTATTCAAAGAAAATATGTATATTTGAAGTGAACTATAACTTCTTAATCATACATAAAATAACATGAACACAGRTTTATTATTAATGGCACAGAAATTTCAATCATAAACAAATTGATAAAACAATTTGTTACAACTCACAGAAAAGTAGAAGAATTGAGCATTATACTATGTGCCCCAAAGCAGAAAAATAACAAAACTAATTTGCATAGTAAGGAGTACTTAAAAGTTAAAACAACATAATTTTTACTCAAGTTATTTCAAGTTTGCTGCTCTAGATAAAGCGAAGATTAGTGGAGTCATTATTTGTTACCACATCTGCTTCAGCTCTGCTTCTCCAGTGCTCGTTCTAGATCAGGCACAAAGCATCTCAGGATCAAACAGAACTCTGAAGTAAACGAAGGCTTTTACCCTGCTGTCTGGGTCTACACCCTCATAATATTCCCATACAGATTTTGCTCTTGGATTTTTGGATTGCTGTACTCTTTCACTTCCAAATGTGACTGTAAGTTTATATCAAAACTGCCATTCATGTATGAATGGGAATCTCCACTGAATTCAGAATAAGGATCTAATTTCAACTAATAAAAAAGTAGGAGTATGTGGAACCTCCTGCTAAAAAATTTGTTACCTATCTTATGGATAAGACCTTCTWGTGACAAAATCGAAACAAAATATAAATAGATTTTACATGAGAAAATTATTTCCATTTTCACAGATTTAGACATTTCATAAAAATTAGTTGCTCTTACCTACTATGGAGAGAATGACAACCACAAAATCAAAAATATTCCAGCCTATAGTGAAGTAGTAATGGCGAAGTGAAATCAATTTCAGGACAAATTCTCCAGTGAAAAGTACAATGAACACCAGGTTAATCCAATATAAAATGTTTTCCATGTCTTCACTCTGATCATCTGTTTCTACCATCATTGTGACCATGTTAAGGCAGATGAGTATCATGATACTGATATCAAATGCTTGTTTCGTTACAAAATCAAAGACCATGCCTTGGAATTTGTTCTGTTGTGACAGAAGAAAGAAAGAATATGGTATTTCAGATTAATTAGGCTTTTCTTATATCATGTATATTTTTAGCTTAAGGCATAACTGAAAAAAAATCCAATTTTTAAATAGGTGTAAAAATATGAGAAAATATTTTGATTCTTACTGCTGGTCGAGGTATAGGYTTTTGTGGTTTCTTYGAACCCAATTTTTTCATTGCATTGTAGTATTTCTTCTGTTCTTCTGTCATAAAAATGTCTTGACCTCCAAAGTAAACCAAAGAGACAAAAACTGGTTACAATCATGTATCTTTATTGATAACTTATAAATATTCCTAATAGTTACTCGTGTTCACATTCTCATCTATGGGAAAATTTAGGGAAGACATAAAAATCCTCTTTTATAATTTTTATATTAAGCTRCACAAAGTTTTAAATTCGGCAGCTGGAACGCTGATACCTATTGAGGCACTGTTGACAAAACACAGATTAAGAGGATATGAATAAAGATAATAAAATGTTTATTATGAAAGTTCAGAAATCTACACTGTTGAGCTCTGTGACATGAAGGTAGYATAGCAAAGAGTTTTTTATAGCTACATTTTTCTGTTTCAATGGCTTTTATGAGTCAATTAAGGCTTCAGTTTCAAATGCAAATCTTTACAAAGATAAAATTTCACAGTATTTCACAAACCATGGAGAGACATATATTGATCAAACCCTCATCAAGCCAAACTGGAAGCTTTAATAATTTAACGTATTTACTATGTGGAGCTCTTAACTAATTTTTTGTTTAAAAATTTATTAATAAAGCTGTCATCAGGAAACCAAAAATAAAAATTTTCTGCTTTCTCTTTAGAATAACAGTGAAGTACTTATCTTCTTTTTCTGCTGGTTGAAATTGTCTATGATGACACCAATAAAAAGGTTCAAGGTAAAAAATGATCCAAAGATGATGAAGATGACAAAGTAAAGATACATATACAGATTATCTTCATACTTAGGCTGATCCAAAACCTGCAAAAAAAAGCAGAGAAAACATGCATTAGTTTAACAGTGAACACAAAGTATCTGCTGGATAGAATTTAGGGCTCTATCACTGTRATATTTGCTTCTTATGGTCAAGTTCTGACATATCCATTCCACTGATTCTCAATCTATGAAGTCATATGCTTGAAAAAGAACTTTGCTATCAAAATTGATAATTCATTTTTTAAAATGTAAGTGGCCCATATGAATGTAGAATAAGTACTAAAGGCCCAATTGGTTTAAACTAGCAAAGCTCCACATGTCTGAATGTACAACCAGAAATACCAATTTTTACCTCTGCAGAATTTTCTGTAAATCTTGTGGGAGGCCCCTGTTGTGGGCTTGTGGCACTTTCACTGCTATGGTCACTTAAGAAAACAGTCACAGGATTATGGGAGAAGCCATGTTTAGACTAAGCATATTTTCTTGATATAGCTATGCCCTTTTACAGTACTGCAATAGGTCTCCTGCTGTAAGTGCAGCTTACAAAAAAAAAGAAATGTAGCTTTACCGGTATTGTTTATTCAGTTGTCTACTTAGAACTATAAGAAAACTTACACCAAAGGAACAAAGAGGAGGCCAAAGTATAAGAAAACACACAGGTCAAATTAAAAATAAGCACTGTGCCCTAAAGAAAGGAATCAGGCAGCTTGCAGAGCACAATGAAAGTCTYAACTATACGTGAGATCAGTATTCAAAAAAAACCTCCTCTCTGTTTTGGTGTCTGTTTCCAAATATAAATAATGTCTCAATGCATAATGAGATGAGGAAAAGGTATTTCATGGCAATAGGTARGTCTGTTGTAGGATTGAGGAATTTTGGCTCAATGGTTCATAGACAACATGGAATGCTTTAGGACTGCTTCTCTGCTTTCCTCATTTCTTATATTTTTCCTGTGGTTCCCATTTTCTTTAACTACAAAATTATAGTAACTCTTYGTTCTTTCATTTTTACTGTTATTTCTGAAAGATGTTAAAATTACATTCTCAAGTACTGGAGCTCATACAATCAAAACAAATGGAGTCAAGGGACTATACTTACATTACGAGAATCCACAGCTGCATACATGATATCCATCCATCCTTTAAATGTAGCCTATAAAATGAACACAAGTGTTTAGGTCACACTTTTCTTGGAAAATGGCTTGTCAGAAGCATTGTTTAGGAGCTGAAGACTATGAGTCTAGTCCTCATCATAAAAASCAGCACAGTGCAATGCTGACTGTAGCCTTTTATTGTATGTTTTATTCATGTACAAGAATTGCGAGCCAATTCTAATATCTGACTAAAGAGGACACAGCATCTATTAAGAACTTTTGTCTTTTCTGAATAATATCTGATATAAAAGGTTTTTTTGTGTGTGTGTCCATGAGCATTATAGGTGTACTTCATAGMGATTCAATGCAGCTGAGGTGTATTAGGTTTGAATTACCCATTTTTCCTCATAGTCAGTATAGCCTCTAGGCTTTGTGTTGTTTCTGTAATGTGATGGATTTATTCCACACTTCATAATTCAAACCAAAAAATGAGAGACAAAATTTCTTAATTAAACAATCAAAAAAAMCCCAACCTTTTTACTGTTACAAGTGAAAAACAGAGATACAGAAAGAGAAATAGAAACTAAGGACCGGTGACTTACTACTTGGAGCAGAGAAAGGTAACCAAGGCCTACGTTGTCAAAGTTAACCTTCACATTCTTCCACCGGGCAGTTTCATTGTTTTGTATGAGCTCCTCACATTGACTAAAGTTGTTGATTTGGCTGATATCAAATCTCTCATCAGTTGTGGTGTTAACACAGTAGTAAAACTTTCCAGCAAATAGATTTACTCCCATGATACTGAAAATCAGCCAGAATATAAGGCAAACAAGAAGCACATTCATAATGGATGGAATCGCTCCTAACAGGGCATTCACCACCACCTGGAACAAAAATGAAACCGAAGAGAGACACTCTAAGAACACAGGCACGAGTATTTTACAAATGCTTCATCAGCCTTTCTTAAATGTGAACACTCTATTACAATTCTAATATATGTGTTATGCTTCTTTAATTGTTAAGAGTAACAAGTCAGAAAAGCAGTACAGAGAAAAAATAAAATGTCAACATAAGTAGAAGACAAATATACAAACAGTAGCAAATAGTAGCTTTAAAGAATGGGAAAAATAAGAACAAACCAGTAAAGCAAACTAAAAAGAAAACAGAAATAAAACAGTACTTATCAGTACTTTTCAGAATATTTACTTAATGTATGTCTGCAAAACCATAATAATCACTGATTGGATGAAACAAACCAAATTTTTTATATTACATGTTTAYTGGATAAACAAAGCCAGTTCAAATCTATTACTGAGCCAATTTTTCATTGAAATTAACTGAGTCCTTTTAAAAATAAAACTCAGGGATGGATGCATGTTCATTTGGATATTTACATACAGAATCAGAAAAGTAGAAATGTTTAATCCAGGTAAGCTGCTGAGTATCTGAATAAACCAAAGCTGTTAGCATTCAGGCAAGTGGCAGACAAAACTTGAAAAAGAGACTTGATTTAATTCCCAACTGAATTTTGGGGAAAATCAGGCTTCAGGAAAGAAAAAAGTGAAAATGAGTTCATGTGTGACAATGAACAATGATTAAAAACATGCCAGAATGAAAATAAAACACTAAGGAAAATAAAATTTGGGAGAAAGTAGGTCCATTATGAATGAGAATTATTAATTTAATGATGGATCCAATGATGATAAATTAGTTAGTTCCTATTTTAAATCTCTCTGTAAATAACTCCAAGAATATAAAATTTGTTAAGTATACAGGACTGCTGCTAACTTTGCTGAAACAACTGAATCAGATCCTTAAAACCTAATGAAGTTTATTTTGCTTTTAAATGCAGAACACTAGCTATTATTTTGATGGTCTTGTTTATAATTAGTTTATATRATGTAGGTACAAGGGCAGATCTCCAGCATAATAAACGAATTGTTTCTGTTTGAAATACAAATATGTAGTTTAAGTCTATGMAGTATTTGGCATTACAGTTATACCTGCAACTAATATCATCCATAAAATCAATTAATTATAACATGAGTCACCTAGGTAGATTTCCTTTCATTTCTTGCCCTTTTAAAGAACAGAAAATAAGCCCTTTGAATATTAGAYAGGTGGTGAATCCCCACCATGTGTACTATAAAGTCGAACTTGGCTGAAGGAAAGGAAACATTCCTATTTTACTTTCAGGGCTCCATTCCTGCCAAAACACTACCTCTTTTGGCTAATACATACTTTGGACAACATTTGAGAGCCTACAGGACTTCAATGAAATTGTTATTATATTAAATTGATGAGTTGGACCAAATGAGGTTTCTTTAAATGTAAACTAATCCACGACTCTATAAAAGTGCAAAATGGTGCATGAAGTCCAAATCTTCCATGCTTTTTTGTTTGTTTGTTTACAAATTTTTTCCACATATTTTAAATCAAATGTTTTAGTTAGTGGTTATTTCTAGTAGGGAAATTTTTCAAAAATCAGAATAGTTTCTTAATCATACTAAAAATCTCCTTAGCAATACCCATTATAAATTAATAAGCAAAAGTAATACAGAATTTTATAAGTTAGCAGCTGGGTAGGAGAGGATGGATAAATCTCTTCAGAGCATTTCAACACTKCTGTCTTACACTGACAAGCTTGTACTCAGCATTGTGAACCACATGACCGTGGAAGGCCATAAGGCCTTTGTTTGACCTAAGCAAATGAACAGTCTAATAACAATGCTGAATTAGTTTAAATTGGAAATGCATGAATTCACTTATTTTAATGGCAAGTTTGACTGGAATGATAAATGGCAGCATCATTTTTTCCCAATTTGGGAATATTTTCAAAATATATTAGTTATTATTTTTATTGAAAGTTATCTCAATACTTCTACTTAAAAATATAAGCATATATCTTAAATATAATAGTATGTCCATCAGGAATGATTATTGAGATATAAAGGGACAGTTAACGAAGTGAAAATACTTGTCCTCGAGCCCTCAGTCTCCRTATACCCAGGAATTCTGTTCCTCTTTCTGTTGCAGCTGCAGGTCCAGTCATGTTCTTCTTTCTTTAATTGCTGGATTTCTACAGCTGACCTACTTTCTCTGGTATTAGTCTGAGTCCTGAAGCTATAGAGAACCAGCTTGTGATACAAATGATTTGAAGACACTCAAAACATATGGTTGAGCATCACTGAAAATATGATCCAGACAACTCCCAGCTTCCACTGGTAGTAAGGGTGTGAGAAAAGGGGGCAAGGCCTGACAGCAAGTGAAGGTAGGGGAAGCATAAGAAAGACATCAAAAGCCTTCTTTCCTGGTTGGGAAAAAAAAATATTATGTTCTTAGCACCATATAGCAATGAGTGATACTGCTTGGGAAAGAGCATGGACAGATTAATTACATTCCCACAGGCYATTCTAATGAAGTACCAAGTGCAAATCAAAGTATAGCTTTCCTAGTAACAACAGTGGTGGGAAGATRCAGGAAAAAAATGTTTTTCATGGGAACAATTTTTTTCTAGAAATTACTAGTTTGGGTGGGCACAAGTCCTGATCCTAGAGAATAGTACAGTGAATTAAAAAAAATTGTTGTATTGAATTTCCTGCTTGTATTTGGGAAGTATAATGCTCATTGGTAGTAARTTTAAGAGTCTATGCAAATATGTGCATATAATGTATTGTCATATTTTCAGTTCATACATGATAARCACCAATGGAATGATTATGTTATAAACAGACATCTTGAATTTCCATGTATCAGATTTTAAAATATTCTCATACTAATCTCTTCATCAACTTGACCTACTAACTTGAGCTCTAAATCKGGAATTAATTACTTTAAATAAGGCCAAATTCATTTTGTCCATAGGAAAATTTCAATGGTTATTGCAYAATTAATGAAATTATGGATCACATTTCTAGTCWCAAGTAATCTAACTTCATCCACTACTTTGCACTGTACTTTTTGCTAAACTCATAAATCTCCTCCTCATCTTGGTATTGTACAAAGAGATATAGTTGGCAGWTCAGGATAAAATCTGTAGACAAAATTTGCACCAACATGGCAGTCATGGGACTGGCAGTTACCCATATACCTTCATTGTAAGGTTATTGGYTTTTTCCTTGCTACAATAAATTACCACCTAAGTAATTTACTGTGCATATAAAATTTGTATTATTTTTATTTTGGGTTTTTGTTTTGCCAATAGTTGTAATAAAAAAAAACCCAAACCAACAGTCAATGTGGTTTTTAGTGAGATAACACTGAGGCTTTAGACAGGCCTTACCTTTCATATAAACATCCCAAATTTTCAAATTTGCATTACTCCTAAAATTTGTTGGAGGTGAGGAAACTATTTCCTGTTCGAATTTTTAACATTTCATCAAAGCCTATTTAATTTTTGGTTGAAGTCTCTTCTCTTACTCTCCACACAGAGAGCATGGTATTTTTTTTCAGGAACTCCCCAGTTTGTAGTTGACTTACAAATTAGCTAATCGGCTTATCACCTGGGGTGCCAAAGAACAGTGATTGCAGGAGGGAGCTCACACAAGGATCCCTTTTAATTACAGCACTAGGGTTCCAGTTCAGGTGCATCTGCTGATGCCCGCTATGGCAGTATGTGCAAGAGAGACAGATGGACCCCGAAGGTGCAAGCCAGACATCTTCTGTGGCTGGTGCTAGAAATATCCACCATCTCTGGTTGTTCACGACCACCCCTATGAGAAACRTTTCTAGAGCTCTCGAGTCAGAGCAGAGCACATCATGTCTTTGTCCATTCTGAGTGCACAAAAGAAGTGATCTGCCCTAATCACTCTGACTCTACACTCAGACAGACTGAACATGCCCAGCTGGGCAGCTGAGGGTCTCAGCTGTGGTAACTGATACGGTGAYAATGAACAACTGGAGACAGTAACTTCTCAAATATACCAACAAAGGTCTAATATGTTTTCTGAATGCTTAGTGCTCTATAGATTATAATAARTAATTTACAATCAATATGGAAAGCAGTAAACAATCAGAAATCACAAAACTAGCTAGAAAAGTTTTCTTAAATAGAATGCAATAGTTCTAAGATGAGAGAAGGTATTTTAATAGTGCCAATTTACTTATTAACAGATATATTCATTACAAAACTTTTAGTTCTAAAAGACGTTCCCAATTAATATATACAGAACATTATGTTATCACACTATGTGTGAYAGTTTAAACTGGTACAAAATGCACATGTGCATGTATACATGTGYGTAYGTGCACACACTTTTAAGAGGAAGTATTGGGGTTTTTCCTAAACTGTTTTGGCTATAGTAGGATGTATTTGTACAGGATAAATTCAGTAATATTGCATAAATCCATGCAGTTGATAAATCCTTGAGCCCTCCATGAAAATATGAAATATGGTGAAAGGCCAAGGAGCCTCATTATGCATAACAATGTGTGCAGTAACACATGAATTCATATAAGCAGATGAAGCCTTTTGCTTATATGTTAGTGATAAATGTGAAATATATTGGATGGTAGTGTAGCATTTCTGCATGGATTGCTCGTTGATTATTCTGCATGCATTGTTTCCGTGGATGCATGCATAGTTTCAGATTCTTTCACGTTGTCTTACCCTCATCCCTTCAAATCGCGACAAGGCTCTTAGAGGTCTCAAAGCTCTTAGTGTCCTAAGGGATTTAATCGCACCAAGTTCTGAGTAGCCCAAGGCATTAGCTGTTAAGCTAACCAAAGAGACCTACACAAAAACARAAAGGCAATATTGCTCATTCATCTTTATATCCTTCCGATACATATGGTGGGAATGATGTGTGCCCTGAACTTCTCAGGAAGATTCAAGGCTGGACCTCTTTCTCCAGGAAACCCTCTATAATGCAAAAAGATCTTTCATGTCAGACAAAGTAGAATAAAAGTATATTCTAGATACCTGTTGATGAAATCATGTTGGTAGAATGGTATAAAAGTGCCTTCTAAATTCACATARACCAGTCAACATTTGGTGGAATTTAAAGAAAAATGAAGTCACATGCAAAAAGAAAACACCCAAAAGCTGGGTGATTGGATTAGCCAATTTAGGTCAGGATTTCCCATGATATCTTCAGAACTTGATGAGAATATAAACGCTTTCAAAAACCACATCCAGACCTCGCTTTTGGTCAAACGTAACTTTCTAGTGTCCAGAAAATCTTATTCAACAGCCATAGCTACCAGTGCTGTTCATATTTAACCAGACTAATCAAGACTGAGAACCAACTGTTTGTTAGACAATGGTAGAAGCTTCATTGTTAGGCATATCCACACTTCATTACATTCCCTGTGACTCCTTTAACCACTTCATCAATTCTGGCTTGCATAACGCTGGTCTGGTCTGCAGGCAGATGAGTAAATAAACTAGAATAGCTGTAAAATAAATAATACAATTATCTTTCATCAWTAATCCTTGGAAATGTATTTATAATAGCAATTGGGAAGGAGTGGCCCTAATGAAGAAAAAACAAATCACCTTCTATTTCCCTCAATTTAATGCCCTTCCCTTCCATCCTTCCTCTTCTCTCAATTCTTTCATCTCCAAAATGTTCGTTTTGGTTTTTTATCTCAATCTCTTCACTATAGATTAAAAAGAATGCTTTAGATATTAATTTTCTATTTTAAAAAATGCACCAGGGCAAGGTTGACATGGAAAACTAATAATGACTATTTATAATGGTCACAGAAGTAACTAAACTACAAATTATTGAATAAGAATTAAATATTTGTTGATAAATACAAGTTCTACAGGTTATGCCAATTTACACATCTGATGATTGAGCCAATAGATGTTTTACAAAGGTACACAAYCATAAAATACTGTATGTGCATATAGTCATGTCTTATCATAGGAATTGCTATGCTGGTCTGGGTTTACAAGTTATATTATTTTCCAAGCTCTATGTTGTAAAGACCTCATGATCTATCACTGTAGTTTTAAGGAGATATTTATCAATTTCTACACAAGTCTGCTGCTTTTCATAATGTGTGAATAGGTAGTTCAAGACATTGTTAGCTTGCATTCCATGGGAATTACACCTGGGAACTGAGAGATGCTTTTAGCATAGACAGAGGTAAGTCAGGCTATTGGGAATGGAAGGGAAATTAATATCTGCTATATGGTTAAAGAACTGTAGTTTTCCATTTATGCTACCCAGTGCTGTGCATACATCATTGAGCAGGTAGACTTGAAATTACAATGCACTTCTCACTAGGTGTCCTTCGGACAATGTATATCTGCTCCTTGGTAATGCAGCCTTTGGAAAATCATGTRGGAGCCCATTCCAAAGGCTCACCTGTCATTCTCTGAAGCATCTCTTTGAGCTAAGCCCCATGATATAGTGAAAAGTGCAAGGGTACTGAATAGTACAATGGAACTGACAATTCCTAACAGTATTTTCCTTCCATATTGCACAAAGTGACAGGACACTTCCAGGAATTCATTAGAAGATTAGGAACAGTTYAAGAAATTGTTTCCATATACAACAAAAACTGAGCAGGATGAACAGCATCCTTTCTATACCACCAAAAAAAGAACGTAAAAAGCATCTTTTCAAGAAAGCATTGCAACTTCATAAAACTAGAGAATTTCAACAAAAGATCTCTAGAGAAATAAGTATATCCAAATATTTTTTCCTTTTTGAACAGAATTATAAACCATTCTATAACATCAGTTAAAATGGAGTTTTTGTTGAATAGAACAGAAATCTTATCCTGAAAACATACTATTCTGATTTTTAGAGCCTATCATACAGGACATGAAAAATAATACATACATCAACAATCAGGAAGTCCAGCCAACACCATGCATTAGTGAAATAGGTTTGAAAGCCATAAGCCACCCATTTTAAAAGCATTTCCAGAATGAAGATATAGGTGAAAACTTTGTCAGCATATTCCAGCATGGTCTTAATAGTTTTACGTTGCTCTATGTAGATATCTTCAAATGCCTGTGAAAAAGATTTTTGAAGATATGATTAAATGTCTTCACAATTTGCAGTGTGCTATAGAATGGCCAAGAAAACATTTGAATTGAAAAAATATACATAATAAGGCATGCAGTTTTCCCTCAAGTATAACTTGGGCTTTCACTTAATACTTTCCATAAAGCTRTGTCCAAACAAAATTCAGCTTTCAGCTGAGCTGAACAGTGATACACAAAACTTACTGTAAGACCACTCTTCAAACTTAATTTTAATTTGTTTCCATGGATAGTGTATGTGTGGCCAGTTTTAGGTAGTGGGGAAGCTAGAGGGCAGTCTTCTGTGGGAAATTGCTAGAAGCTTCCTCCGTGTCCAGCAGAGCCAATGCCAGCTSACTCTAGGACAGAGTCACTRCTGGCCAAGGCCAAGMCAATCAGGAATGACAGTAAYGCCTCTGTGACAACATATTTAGGAAGGGGGAAAAAGGTTACTGAACAGATGGAATTGCAGCCAAAGAGTGAAGCGAGAGTACGTGAGAGGAACAACTCCATGGACACCAAGGTCAGTGTAGAAGRAAGGGGAGGAGGTGCTGCACACACTGCAGCTGAGATTGCCCTGCAGCCTGTGGCAAAGACCATGGTGAGGCAGTTGTGCCCCTGCAGCCCATGGAGGAGACCTATGCCAGAGCAGGGGCATGCCWGAGAAACAGCCTGGGAATTTGTGGGAAACCCMTGCTGGAACAGGCTCCTGGMAGGGACCTGCAGACCCATGGAGAGAGGAGCCCGTGCTGGAGCTGRTGTCCCAGTAGGATCCCATGGCGGGGGGCAGGGTCCATGCTGGATCAGGCTGTATCTGAAGGACTGTASCCTATGGAAGATTGCCCCACATTGCGGCAGTTAGTGGAGAACTGATGCCTGTGAGATGGACTCACATTGGAGGCATTCACAGAGAACTGTCTCCATGGAAGGGACCCCATGCTGGAGCAGGGGAAGGACTCCWCTSCCTGAGCAGCTGCAGAAACAATGTGTTATGAACTGACCATAACTCCCATTCCCTGTCTCCCGGCATTGCTGGGGGATGATGCAGAGCTGGGGAGAAGGAAGTGATGGGGCAAAGGTGTTTTTAGGATTTATTTTACTTTTCATTATCCTGCTCTGGTTTTTTTTTAACAATAAATTCAGTTAATACCCCTAGGCTAAGTCCCTTTTGCCAGTCACAATATTTGGTGGGTGAGTTCTCCTGTACCATCTCAACCCATGAACCCTTCATCGGATTTTTTTTCCCCTGTCCACATGTGGCGTGGAGTTACAGAGCAGCATTGGTGGGCACCCGGCATCCAGCCAGAGTCAACTAACTACAGACAGCAAGGGCTTATGGATAGAAGGATTTCCTTTGTGGTAGTTACAAATTTATATTAAAATTATATGAGGGATTTCAAAATGACTTTGTGGTAAAGTATTTTTGAGGAATAATTAAAACCAAAGTATTGCAAAGTATTGCACACTAACCCACAAAGCAATCCAAAATAGAGAGAACTGTCTTGTCAAAAGAAAATGTATACATTGACAGTGAATCACTGTGCATTGAGCCAAGTATAGCAAGATTATATTTTGCCCCTGCTAKGAGGAACTAATTACTTCAATACCTACCCAGTGTACCTGATTTAACACCAATCTGTAAAATATCTGATGGAATTGTGTTGGTATCTTACATTCAGTTTGACAATTCAAGTTGCAGCTGATAAGTTCCTAGCTCAGTACATGTTTTTATTTAAGTGTGTATTAAAAAAAAGCTATCATCATCAATATGAAGACATGTGAACACCAATCTGATAAAACTGATTTCTAACTTTCATTAACACCACATCTTGAACTTGCCAAACAATTTGTTTCACAGCCTGCAAGCAAACTTACATATCCTACAATATATGCCCAACACTTGCTGATATATGTTTATATGTTATAGAACATTTATGAATTGGATATAAAATTCTGATTTGTTACCTGTAGCTATGTGATTAACTGCAATTCTAAATGCTTGCTGGTTAAAATCACAATAGACACAAGAGTTCCACACTTAATTTACCAGAGCACCGCTGCTGAGAAGAATCATGAAGACTATGAAGGTCTCAAACCAGTTGTGTTCAACAATCTTATAGCAGGTTTTCCTAAGATTCCACCAGATTTTGCCTTTTCCTTCTTCTACACTGACTTGACAGCATTTGAATCTCCGTACACACCCTAAATGTGATCATAAATTTTGAGATGTCAGAATAAAGTAAATATTTGTTAGGAATGACAATGAATGGTAGTCATTTGACTTATTTCAATGCTACAGCAATAGATCCTTATAACTCCTCTTTGAGCATTTTTGTGTCAGTACTTGAAGTTAGAGCTTTTTATCTTTCATGACACCTTCCAAAGAGAGAAAAGAGAACACACGTGAACAGCAAATCTACAGCAGTAACTCTGAAGAAGTTACTAATACAAACAGCAATTACAACTATAACCATAAAACTCCATTTGATTTTGAATAAAAATAGAATCCAGACCAAGTCAACACAATGAGGTATAATTATTTTGCATGTAYTTTGCTTTGCCTACCTTCTGTAAAACAAGCTTCTGGCTCCAGAACTTCTTCAGGTTCTGCTTCTGGCTGTTCACCTTCTGGAGGTAGTCCAATATCAACAGTGCTGCCTTCTGATGAGCTGGATGCATTCAATTTCTGTGAATGAAACTCCACATAATTATTTTTTTCAAGTTATAGTATTTTGAATAGAAGTTAATGTTGGAAATGTATATCAAAATGTTTTAATGTATTCAGTGTTCTGATACTAAATAACTTCTTATCTACAATCTCTAATGCCAAATTGCTCTACTAAAGGTGAGGTCACTTGATTAGAAACTACATAATGTGCATTTTCCCTATTGAAAATATTTTGATATTTTCATACAAGACTACTATTCTGAGCCACACATAAGAACCTTGAAATKAAATTTCAGTAAGCTAAGAATGTGTGCTTTCCATATTCTGGAGTATTTCATTATTCCAGTCATGTGGCTGCATTTTAGATTACACTTCMAATAGCATGTGTTAATACCAATAAATTTCCAACATCATGACCAAACCAACAGCAAGCTGCACAGATGTATTTTCATGTCTCAAGTAAATATTATTCTAGCAAGTCTGTAAAAATCTAAATCTAAAAAGTTTAAATATATTTTTTTCATTATTATTGACATGAAAACACATGTATAGGATGTATAGTATAATTTAACTATTTTTATTTCTGAAAGAGCAGCACATTACTTTAGGAGCAGTAGCTGATATTTTGCATACTCACTTGCCAATGCATTTTCTGAATTTATTGTGCATTTTGAAACTACTTATTACCTTGGTACAGTACTCATAGATGTCCAATTACTGTAAAAGGCCAACAAAAATTTTGAAAGAATAAAGTGAAAACAAATGCTTTTAAAACAACCCTGTAATTAAATACTAGTGCACCAATAAATCATACCAATAATATAAACCTTAAAAATTGTTCTTTCATACCATCTCATGATGTTGGCAACAGACAAATATGAGTACTATAATAAGTAAAAGTAGTTTGATCACAGCATTCTATGACTCTTCTAATGTTATCACTATATGGAGTATAACATCAGTAAAATGGCTGCATCGATAAGTAGCTAATCTTATAAAGGGAATGATGTAAGCAGATTTGGAATGGAGTCTACAAGGAATTCATATTAGACAGAGATGGTCTATGGTAACATTAAAGATATATAGTTTTGCTGACAAATCTGAAGTTAGAGGCATTATTCCTTTAAAACATTTCTGAGTAGCTTCAAATTCTATACAGTTTTTTGTAAAGGAAATGTAARCAGTATTAGTTTGTGGATACAGAAAGTAACTTGAGACTTTAATGAACTTGTATATAACAACAAATATTCAGAATGTTCTTCAAACAAAAAGAAGATTCATTCCTTTCTCCCCCACTGAGTCTATTGAGTCACACTGACAATATATTGTGTTGTGATTTTGACATAAATTTAACTTTGATTTTTGTGTTCCACAGTTCACTAAAGAGCACACTTTAGAGGAAGGCCAAACAAATTGAAACATGTATTAGAGGGTGTATTAATCACCTAGTTTTAGTGATATCTGCACACCCATTTAATCTAWTTTTTTTAAATCCCAGCTTAGACATTCATGTCTCTTATTTTGGTGTGAGTTTAGCATCTATTAAGGTCGGATTCAATGTACAAAGAGATGGATGCACAGTTTTCTGCAGATTATTATTGACAAATTTCCCATTGAGGTATGTTTGAATTATAGATAATGCATGGCAGTTTGGTCATTGTGGAATACTGCCTCTAAAATGGAGAAACTGGAAAGTATGAGATAAATACTGTAGTCCTCAAGTAAGGACCACAGCATTTAAACATCAGTGGAAGTCAATCTTCAGTTTGAGGAAAGGCCAGAAATACCATAAATGGAAAGTACATTAAAAAATTATATAGGATGTTAAAAATTACCATTTATCAATACAACACAGTAAATAATTTTTACATTGAGAAGTGACTGTTTTTATTACATGGTGTTCTCTTAAAATGTTGCTTGCATCATTCCAATCTGGAGAGCATTTCTAGCAGAATGCTGTAGTAGTAGCAGAGCAAACAAAAATTATGAACTGGCTGAACCGTAAGTTTGAAAGACCTACTGTCCATTCTTTTACAGGAAAATGAAGAGTTCAGTGACTCAGATATTACGCAGTTAGTTTAATAACCACAAGGCATAATGAATTCCTATTACTGCAATTGCTTCAGACTAAGTTAACTCAACATGAAAGATTAGACATAGCCACTATAAGGAGATATCAAAAAGATCAGATAGAAAGGTGGAAAATTATCAATAGAAAAGTGAATTATCAGGAACATCAAAATGACAACTTTATTTATTGGGGCACTATGTATGGTGAGATGTATACTTATGTCTCTTGCCACTGGKATGCTTCATTTACAGAGCTGTAACAATAATCACAGGAGTCAAATGACCAGAAAAATCTTAAATTGAATCAACAGCAGCTGATACTTGAAATGCAACAATTAAATGCCTTATGCTCCTGAGAACATCAGTTACACTTCTGTTGATGTAACAGAATATTTACTTTGCACGCYGCTCTCGAATCTAGCCTCAACCTGATCAATATATAAAGAAGAATATTATAAAAATTATTGAATAAATTCAGTCGGTAATAATTCAGCATCATTTGGGAAAGAAAAAAAAATGGGATATTCAACACTATAATTTTTTTTTGTTATTTTTAACATTGAATTTATTGTTTGGCATTATGTACAGTATTTATAAAATTCAGTATGCATTAGAAACAGCTAGGAAGTTGTTATGATATGACATCTTAAGATTTTATCAAATTAAGTTCAGTATGCTAGGAAAACTTTTCAGTAACATTCACATATTTCCACAGCAAACTTACGCTCTGATATAAAGCAACTGACCCAGGGATGTTGTACTGATTTCTATGTATTCTACACCACATCACCTGGGAATAGACCATGTTATTGCTATTATGTTTTGTCCATCCCTTAATATATAGGAAGATTTCTTTTATCACTAATTGTGACTTGCCAGGGTTCACACAAATGGAATCCAGCTAGACTACCCTGAACTGCAGACCCTGATATGTTAGCTATGCAGCACATTACCCCAGTTCTTTACTAAACATATCCGAAGTAACCTTTATACCTGGTAAATTGGTCCTTGCTTATCAGCATTAGGAAAACTGGATTTAGGCAATGGCTATTTACCTTACAGATATATAGCTTTTTTGAAAAAATGAACCCATAGAAAAAGATAATAATCAAACCTAAGCATTAGCTCTGATCTAATTTTAAGTCCATTTTAAGCTTTTTGTTATCCCATGATTCTAGATTTCAAAAGTATTCAGTCATGCAGATTATAAGAGATTTATCAGGATCAAGCATTAGACACTCAGAGTTATGAAGAGAGGAATTTTCTGAATAGTATGCTAAGCAAATTATTCTCAGGAAATTTTTTTTTCAAAACCTTASAATGTACATACTCCACCTCCTTTTCACAGAAAACAGTAAGGGGACAAAAGTACTTACATGTTTCTACAGCAGCAGTATATTGATTATCACAGAGATTTAAATATCTTTTATAYCACGTGTACCAACAGCCTTTCCAGTCATGCTTTAGTCAGCAATGCGGTACAGTATGAGATACACATTTTAGTTTAGCTTTCAAGATAGGAAAGCAGCTTGCCTATCAGAGAAGCATTGCAAAAAGCAGCAGCCAAGATTAGGTCAGGAAGTTCTTGACATAATTACTTTCTGAACCTCGACAACATCTCATAGATTCACACAATTCTGCTTCACTTACAGCCAGGCCACTTTTAACTTCTAACATTGCTTTCTTCGTTTGTCACAAAGATGATTATCTGAGAGTAGCTGGACAAGCTCTYAGTTTAACATTTTTAACAAAGCCTGAAATTTCATGATTGGCCAGAAGGCCACTAATGGCTGTTGAAGTCATAATTTGAGGGACTGAAGGAGCAAAGAGCAGGACAGACATAAGCAGGAAGGTGGCACCAACAGAAACCACCATTTTGGTTTTGCTTTTAATTTCCTTTCCTCCCAAATACATGCGAAATTGCTAAATAATGGAAGTTATATTGGTTTTATTTTCTCAGTGCCGTGTGGGTGTTCATATGAAAATGAAATGYTCTGTGATATAAATGGTGATATTATACCCAAACTGTCCAGTCTTTTTCAGTATGGCTGTATCACCTTTAAAATCTTTGAAGTGGCAAATATCATTATAATTCCACTGGTGTAATTAAGTGGAATCTGGATGTCATTCTTTCTAATGCTTATACAGTTAGGCATAATAACTCTGTCAGTACAAAAAAYCAGAACACTGTAAATCAAATCAAAACCATTTTGTGATGATTATAGGTTGCAAATACTGCAAATAACCAGTATCCCTAAATTATAGGTCACTCTTTATTGATATTCATAATTCCTTTGATCTAATTATTCATGAGAATTTAATAAATTTAAATATTTGCAAAAAAGTTGTATGAAAGCAAAAGCATTGTAAGTAGCAGTGGAAATATGTTCCAGTGGGAAAAAGCTCTCCCACCAGAAACTACTTTAAAAGGGTCTTTAATTCATACAAGAAATAATGAAAGGCTATTTCTGAAACAGAGTAAAGGACTGCTGTTTGCAAATATTAATTAAGCAAAGTCCAGTTAACTCTAACATTAACAATATCATCTAYGATGAATCACAGTATGCCAATACAATGCGACCAATTCACAGTACGAAACTTAAATTCTTCAGAGTATCAAAGGATTTTAAATAATGAATATTTTAAAATCAAAATACTTCTTATTAGATAAATTATTCTTTAAGAATATAAGAGGAAAAGCTCTGGAGCAAGTATATTTTAATTCCACTGACTTACCAAACTGAAAGCAGCAACTGTGGTGTTGTAAATATTATGGCAATGTTTAATAGATGAGATGTAATCACCCTGAAGYTGGGGAACTTCCAGACCTTTTGGTAGTAGCTCATTTACTAGAATGCTGATCTTTATTTATTACAGATGGGATGAGAATTACTTTAAGCTTCTCAAGGCAGACAATTTTAGATGTTTGGGGAGGCAATCAATTTTTGAGCAGAAATTAAAGAGCTATTGTATGATTTAATTGGGCCACATCTTGCTATCAGTTTCCTCTTTGCACCTCTACACCTGTAACTGTGAGCGTAAGTAAGAGCAGAACGGATCTCTGAATGTTTGACCAGCCAAATAACAGTTTTGTATGAATTCTTTTAACCAAATTATGGTCACATGCTTTGACTGCAGAAATTAAATTAATTTCATGCTTAATGGTGCTCCAAGTACTGCATATTAATCTCCAAATAACTAAATGCTCATACAAGTACTAAAGAAAAGCACTTCTAAGAAAAAAGAATGTGAAAAATAAAAACATGACTATGATGAATTTGCAGGTTACCTACATTATAAGTTAAAATACAATAGTGTGGAAGTTTTCCAAAACAGCTAGCAGCTTTTCATTATCAACRCAATTTACAGATGGACTTATATATATATATCTATATAAAGGCTTCTGATGAGAAACATGGCATACCTGTTACATAGTCTATCTTCCCTCCAAACAAAAGAAAACCCTTCAAAAATAGAATCCTGAAAACTATATCATCAAGATTGGGAAAGGTACATAGCATGCACTGCAAAATACTTTTAAAATATCATGGAAAGTATCAGAACCACAGAAATATTGGGGCTGCCACTCTTGCCTGACCATGCTGTGATGCGAGTCCCGTGGCTCAGCAGGGAGCAGCTGTGCATGTTGGTACTTATTGCAATGAATGGGACAGGATCATAGCTGAAGAGCATGCAGGCCAGTCAATATCTGCTAAAAGTGATTAAATAGGATATACATAGACATGTATAACTTGCTTAGGTAACCTGTGTAAAACTGGTGACACGATGCTCTGCCTCGCTAAAAGGCACCAGAGCTGCCCGCTTGACTGATCCAGCTTGGTTCTACTCCTGTGAGAAGTAAGAACGGTAGGAAATGAAGTTCAGGACACAACACCTCTGGTTTTTTGYGCTGAATATTCTTGAAGTAAAATATACATTTTTTATGTGTCTGTAACAGCATTAGGAGATCTCATTCTTTTCAAAGCATTGAAAAATATCTTGTCATTGATATATCTTGGTATTATTAATGGCCTATAATTTATATTTAGCATAAATTCATTGTTACCAGCTATTATGATTATTTTAACTAATCATTATACAATCATACATGTACTACAAAATTTTCCATATAAACCATTCCCGTAGTACTCAAGAACCTAAAATGGAAAAAATATCTTTATAGTTTCTACACTAAATAGCAGTAATGCAGCTCAGATCCACAGGCCTTTATTTATAGGACAATGGACTCAGCACAGTGGTCCCACAATTATTAATGGCCTACTTCTAWGATAAAGTTTTATTTAGTATTTGTTTTCTAATTCCCTTATTATACCATATTCACCCACTGCCATTCTTATGGACACAATGTTTTTATAATTAAATTTATTTTAGGTTTTGGTTATTTTCTAGAAAATTCCTTGTTAATTCACATTAAGCATGTACAATATCATATGCATTATTTCTACAAAACAATAATCTAGTTAACATTTCTGTCAAACTACTGGAAGATACGTATGTTATAATAAAGAATTCACCAAACATTAATATGCTTAATTAAAACTTGCTAAAAATAATAATTATTTTGTTGGAATTCAGCTTACTGCCCTATACAACACTGAACACATGTACTCGGGTGTAGACACAAAAGCAAGCAGAAGCACACAGACACACATCCATTAGCATCTGRCTATCTTGTGCAGTGTCCTCACAGCACCTGGATGCCTCAGCTGCCTTTCATCTGCAAATCTGCTAATTTTTCACCTTCAGCTTCTGCACRAGTAAGAAATTTTGGCCCTGAATATGCTCAGCAGAGTTTCAGATTTGGCCAGTCAAAACTGCTTGGCACTAGCTTATCCCTGACTTAATCTGCATTTCTTTGTCTTACCACCTAATCAGTTTGCAGTTCCTGAAACACAACAGCATTAAGGCTCCAMCAATGCAATGAAGACACTGTTTTCTTTTAAATATGGTATGTGGAGTAGAAAGCCTTTCTTTTATGGTTGAAGCTTAATGACTAGAGCTCACGTCTCAAATGTGGGATAATTCCCTTTAAAATGTTTCCTATAGGAAGTCAGTATTTTTGTCACCTTGTAGAATAACCCAATGAGGGTCTTTCCATGAGTAGAAAAGAAAGATTTGACTAATGAAAACAGTCAGCAGCCACACCATCCCRTGTTACAGTAAGGATGGAAATGCACCATTGTCACACTCAGCCCTGCTAACCACCAGCACAGAGAGGTTTGCATAAAGCTCATCCTCTGCCTCCCTTACTGACATGGTGCTCTTGTGCAGTGAAGAACAGAACTGAAGGTTAAACTACAACAACTGATTTGTTCTACACCCAAGTACTGGTTTTGAAGAGTAAGGCAAATATTCATACAATCAATCTGAAAAAAAGAAATACTTTTATAAGAATAAAGACATTTGTGATAATAAACATGAAAATATGAAAAAAATGTGTGATGCAGTTTGTACAATAAAGGATCTCAGGCTGAAAATTACTAGAATCTTACCCAAATTTATACCCTGATTCAAGTAAGAGAAAATCACTAATGAAATCCTTTGTTAGTTTATGTCTACCCCACAACATGCAAAACTACCCATGCTAATGCTGAATGTACTAGCATTAGTACTAMGCATTGCACAGACTTACTCCTCTTGTGTTGATGAGCCTCCACCACTTTTAGTTGTGCAGGACAAAGCAGTGGGTTAATAACACACACACAGTAAYAATGCTTTGGCATCCACTGTAACTCTCAGTGCTAGCTTGGATTTATCCACTTGGCACCACATTGTGCCAGAAAGAGGTACATTTTATTAGTCACAGTAGGGAACAGATTCAAATATCTTAAAGCTTTGAAAACAATGAGTAGTCAAATGAAATGATCTTATACAGAGACTAAGCTTTGTAACTTTTTTACCATAAGGCCATTACTTTACTTCTTCATGGTTCTGCTACTATCAGATGTGTTATTGRTGATTTATATGAAATAGTTTAGTGATGCTAGTCCAGTATTCAAATGTACCTAACTATGATATAGATGCATTTTCACTATATAAAAAAAGGTTATAAACATCAGAATGAACTATTACCAAAAAGCATATAAAAGAATAAACTGCACTAATGAAATAAGCATGGAGAGATTTGCACCAGTCACACACACTTTGTATGACTGCTGGTGTCCAGGGCAATTAAAACTGTTCCTTGGCTTGTTAAGAATTTAATTAAACAAAATAGAAAAAAAATTTTTTCTAAAAAAAAGTTGTATGTATCTTGATTATTACTGTAAATGCAATATTCTATCATCATCTTTTAAAACTCAAAACCTTACATCAATTTACTTTAAATAAYATTATGAGTTTGAATATGCTGTTGTAAAGGAATTAAAGAAAGATTTGAATTCAACGCTTGTAACCTCTGAAAAAAAAAAAAAAAAAAAAAGCATAAGAGTATTTTAAAAATAGAAATAGGCTTACCTCTTTGCTTTCTTCCAGGTCAGATTCACTGCTGAATTCTTCTGTGTTTAAATTTTCAAAATCTGATTCTCCGACAGCAATGGGCACTGTCACGGTGAGACTTGGGTTGTTTATGAATGACATGTAATCACTTTCATCAACAACATATTTTTCCACACTGCTGCCTATGCCACTGGTAGTTCCATTCCCGTCTTTAAGATAGGCAAGGTTTTTACCTATGTCTACTATTGTATGGTTGGAAATACAGCTGTCTTTTTTATTGTTTAGGTCTTCAAGAGGTTTGATTTCATCTAAAGCTTTCTGTTTTCTAACAAAGGCTTTTTGGACGAATTCACGCACTTTTCTCTTCACATAATCTATGCCTTTCTGAATCCTTGCCACAGCAATCTGGAGGTTGTTCATTTCATTATCATCATCTGTAGCAGCAAGGTTGTCTGAACTAAATGAGCTCAGCAGCAAGGCCAAAAAGAGGTTGAGTACCTAAAAGGCAGTAAGGAAAAAATTACTCCTATTTTTAAGTCAYAAACGCAATGTCATTTTGAATTTTTCAGTATGACGTATTTTTTTCCTTTTAACACTTGATTTCAATGCACCTTCCTACTACTCTTTTCAGTCCATAATCCCTGTACCCCAAATTTTATTATCTTGCCAAAAAACACATTTAGCTGATTTAATGTCCCTAATACAGGTGAAAATCTGAGCTGTGTCTTGACTGTCTCCTCCACAATGGAGGTAGTGCAGATCTGGTCCTCAAAATGGAGAATGACATAATGAGGCAGGATACAACATAATGTAGTAATTTATGCAAGCTACACCCACTGTACCATTCATAGGCCAGAGAAATGTAGGAAAAYGCCAGTCTTCTACAATTCAACAGACCGTAGTTCTAGTATCTCTGATTCAGAATATAATAAAATTTTGTATTTGTCAAGTATATATGACTATATCTTGSTTTCAGGCAGGAAAGGTAACTAAGATAAAAAGAGTACACAGATGTGATACACCTCAATTTCAAGAAGATATTTCAGGCATTCTTGCATGACATTTTACAAACATACAAGCGAAATTTGGATTGCATGCACTTATGACAGACTATGTCCAAAACTGATTAAAAATCATTTAAATTACATTTGTTAGTTCTTCCTGTTCAAACTTGCATAATATTTTAGAAGATAYGCCACAGGACTCACTGTAGTCTGGTGAGACTTGTAGTGATGACTGTGGATAAGCATATTTATAAAATTTGTGGATTACACAAAAAAGAGAAGGGATGTTAGCACTCAACAAGAAAGAACTACAATTAAATATAACTATGGTTATGGCAAATTGATGAAATGATTGAAAATCAATATAGTATTTAATTTGGAAGTACTATTGTGGAAAGGATTTTTAAGAAAGAAGTACATATACAGAAGTATGTATACAGAACTGGCAAGCTGGAAGCACTGCAGAAAAGGGCAGAGAGGCTGTATCAGGAATGCTGCTACAGAAATTTGATGYGTCATTTGGGGATGTACTACAAAGAATGCTGAGCGTAAGAAATGAAAGTAGTGGTGTCTTTATTCAAAGTGTTGCTTGGGAGGAATTCAGAGGCCAACAGCAAAAGGGATAAGATGTTTACGAATCATCACCTATGAGCAAAATTGAGACGCTAGGCTTGTTTTGTTTCACAAATAAATGACTGAAAGTGGTAACAGTAAGCTTTTAAGTATTATAAATGTTGCCACAAAGACCAACAGTTTTCCATCAATATTGAGACAATTTAGTTTACTTGGCTGCAAAAGGTGATTAAAATTAGATTTTTTAAAGGTACTCCTAACTGTAAGCATAATTCAACACTGGTCTTACTAAAGAGGTTGAAAACTCATTGAGATTTAAAAAAAAAAAAAAAAGTAGACAAACATTTTTCATGGCGTATTTGAACCTGGTTTACAGAAAGGGCWAGTGAACGACATTATTTCCTGAAGTTCTTCAGTCCGCATCTCAGATTTCTAAATCATGAAAAATAGGAAATATGTCCTAAGAGTTTTAAAACATCCCCACTGATTACATACCACTAGGTTTCCAATSACCATGACCATCATGAAGACTGTAAGGCACATGGTTTGGCCAGCAACCTCCATGCAGTCCCACATGGTTTCTATCCATTCTCCACACAGCACTCGGAACACAATCAGGAAAGAGTGGAAAAAGTCATGCATGTGCCAGCGAGGAAGTTCRCAGTCACTGGAGATCTTGCAGACACATTCCTTGTAGCTTTTCCCAAACAGCTGCATCCCAACCACAGCAAAGATGAACACAATGATGGCCAGCACCAGGGTCAGATTYCCCAGAGCTCCCACTGAGTTGCCAATAATCTTAATCAGCATATTTAGAGTTGGCCAAGATTTTGCCAATTTGAAAACTCGAAGCTGCAAAACAGAAGAATGGTATACAGTTCTTCATTTTGCCAATTGTTATGGTATTACTGCCATACATGTCATGTTTCAGTTACCCTGTGTCTAAATCATGTCTCTTGTAACCTTTAGAACTTTAATATGCAAAATTTCTGTTTCTAGTTCTTGGTACAATATTACACATCAGCARTGTTAAATCCTGATTGAAGCAATAACAAATCAAAAATGCTGCCTCTATGCTCATTCCAATTACATTGCAATTATCACAAAGACTCCATGTCAGACTTGGACTCTTTTGGTGACTTGTGATATTTAAAAAGAAGTTGTACTTGATAAACAAGTGGGACAAAACAGTCTTTCTCCWGTAGTTAACTCTAAGAAAATATTATGAAAAACAAATGAGCACATGAAATGTGATCAATTTAACAGGACCATAAGTGCACAGTCACTTCCAGATCTCTTTCACCCTAACTGGCAGTGAGATGGAGGAAATTGTTTTCCTAAAAAGAGAAACAATCTGGAGTTGTTAATGACAGACATAAAAGTGACTTACAACTAMCTTTAAAAATAATTTTAAAAATMAYTTAAAATAAAGGTATTGTGCYTTAYAAAGTTTATCATAYAACATTGAGAAAAAMCAAGTATTATATTAATAAGTACAACTTGAAACAGACAAAAATGACATTATTGGAAACATTCAGCAAGTGTTTGGACAATTGAAAAAGAATACTAAAATCAATATAAAACTAAATAAAATGAATATAAAACTAAATATAATTTAATGTGATGATTTTATGTTTTATAAATAAAACATATAAATGCCAAGTTAAAACCAGATTTTACTGCTGAGAAAGAAGCCAATCCAGATTTTTGACTTTATGCAAAGTACAGTATAATGCTATGCAGAGAAGCAGAAAACAGATATTTAAAACGTCTTATTTTTTTAAAGGAAATTTATTTAACTTTTAATGAAATTTAATTTTCTTAACGATTATTTAAAGCAAAAGTTGTGCTTGATGACTAGGAACTCRAGCATCATGTCTCCCACTGTGTAGGTCACTTCAGAAGAGTATTTGGACATTGATTTGCATGGTAGCCTAGTCTGCAGCAAGACCAAGGTTTTTCAAGTTCCTGTTCATGACATTGATATCTATTGACAGAGACACGGTGGTGACTTCTGAACAGAAAAGCTGTTAGATGTCCCCTCGCAGAGGACAGTACACAGAAGGCTGGTAGGGATGAAAAGGCCCTGGACAATGAAAAACCTTAACACTACTCTCTTTTAAAACTAAACATGAAATCCAATTGGTAAAGGAAGTCTATAAGCTAAAATTGTCAATAAACTTTTATTAACTAACCCATTATTTACCAAGCAATTCACTAATTTTCAGTCACAGGTAGTGAAGGCCCTGTGGCTTTGGCTTTTTTTTACTCCGTCATCTAGGAAGAAGACTCTAAGAGATACTTCCATTATAAAAGTTAATCATTTAAGCACACTTTTGGCAAGAATAGAATTGATATTGACCATATCTTGAAGGAGAAATAGACATTACCAAGATAATATGCAAAACAAACTTGACATAATAGACACATGCCATCTAGTGAGTATGCAATTCAGCATTTTGCAGCTTCTGAAAAGATCTTCTGCCTTAGCCAAATATATGATTTGCAAATGAAAAACGAACAAAAGATATGTATGAATACAAAAATGTAATATAGAAACATAATTTAAATAGTATATTTACCAATCTGAATGATCGAAGGACAGATAAACCTTCTACATTTGCAAGGCCAAGTTCCATTAAACTAAGACTCACAATAAACCCATCAAAAATGTTCCAGCCCTCTTGGAAATAATAATAAGGATCCATGGCAATTATCTTGAGAAACATTTCTGCTGTGAAAATTCCAGTAAACACCTGCAAAGAAAATACAGGTTTTACTCCAGTTKAGGAAGAAAATATTTAAAAAGGAGAACTAATGGTATCAACATTTGCTAAGTTATAGTTTCAGCAAGAAATTAATGATAAATCTGAATAATTTCTCTACATTTCCATACATTTGGGTTAGGAATAAAATTCATATTTGAAGCTTACATATGCATCACAATGTTTGGGTTGCAGAGAAAAAGAGGYAAATGGGAAAATGTAATTTTTATCTAGCCTGCTAATATGTATGTATGGCAATACCCAGAGTATAATCTGATTTTAATGGTCGTTTTTAACTCCTTAGAGCTCACCTTTGCTCTTAGACCATTTTTTAACTTCTAGGAATAAAGATAATTGTTCTGATCATAAATCTATTCTATTAAGAAAAAAAAATTATACAGAAAGTTGAGCAGAACTGTTCTTCTTCAGGATGGCCTGTGGAAGATATTGTCATTCCATTTCATCATTTCCTTACATCTGTCATGCTTACTGGGTCTTTCCCCTCTAAAATTCCCTGAACATCCAGATCCTTAGGAGGTGCTAGTGAGGAGCAGAACAGGTGTGGGAATGGAACTGAAAGTTCTTACGGTTTTTAACCATCCAAGAAAAAAAAAATTCCTTTAATGAGCTTTGGTGACAGAAGATGAAGGTTTTAAAAATCAAAATTATGCATATTGACTCAGTTGATCTTTACTCTGTAAAGCAAGARTGGTAAAATTCACAAATGTCAACAGCTTAAATTTAAGTTTAATAATCCAAAATCTATAGTCAACTTTTACATGAATGTACATAAGTCAYGTAAGAATTGAAGAAAAATGCATTTCACATACATGGCACATCATGATAGACTTACAAGGTTTCCTACTGAAAGCACACCACTAAACTGTTCCGTCATTGGATAGTGCTCCATGGCCATGAACAGAGTGTTAAGGACGATGCAGATGGTAATGGCCAGATCAACAAATGGGTCCATCACAATCAAATTTACTATATGTTTGACTTTCAGCCAGGGAGTACAGCAGTCCCAAATCAAGCAAGTATTAGCAAATTTATACCAGCATGGTGGACATTTCTGTCTGGATTCTTCCAATTCTAGAGAGAAAAATGAAAATAAGGTTTTAAACATATWTCTCTATTCCACCATCACCTGGGTATTTCCTTGAGGCCTAAATGTTGTCTTCCAAGGTATTGTTGATAAATAAACTGTGTTGAGACTTTGAAACTAAGACTGCTGTCAGTCAAAAGAAATTACAAGTTAATATCATCTATTAAAAAGCCCCTATGCTAAAGATTCAATAGATAAAAGAACCATTCACAAGCTAATGCTACATAAAATGTAAAAGAGAAATTTGTCGTAGAACAATCTGTCATCTGGGWGATGAGGGGGCTGAAAGCAGCCCAGCAGCCAAAGATTTGAGGTTATTGATGGCTGAAAAATTGAGAGTAAGCCAACAGTGTCGGCCACAGCCAGAGAGCCAATACCCTCCTGGGCTTCATCAAAAGCAGCATGGCAAGCAGGCTGAGGGAGGGGGTTCTCCCCCTCTACTCCAGCTGGAGTGCTCTATTCAGCTCTAGGCTTCCCAGYGTAAGACCAGTTTCACAAGAGGCCACAAAGATGACTGGGACCAGAGCATGTGTCCTGTTAGGACAGGCTGAGAGAGCTGGGGTTSTTTGTCCTTCCCCTTCTCCAAGGAGACCTTATAGCAGCCTTCCAGTACTTACAAAGGGCCTGCAGAAAACAGGGAAAGGGAGCTTTCATCAGGCAATGGAGTGGTAAGATGAGGGTTTACAGTTTTAAACAGAAAGAGGGTAGATTTAGATTAGGTAGGAGGCGAAAATTGTTTACTGTGAGAATGGTGAGGCACTGGCACAGGCTGCCCAGAGGAGCTGAAGATGCTCCATCCCTAGACATGTTCAAGGTCAGTGTGGATGGGGCTTTGAGCAATCTGCTCCAGTGAAAGGTGTTYCTGTCCATGGCAGGAGAGCTGGAACTAGATGATCTTTAAGGTCCYTTCCAATAAAATATTTTCAAGMTTCCTCATGAAAGATAAACATTTAGAAGCCTGAGGTCAGATAAGTATTTAGGCTGCATTATTGTCCAYATGCGCACAACTGCTCATTATTACCTTCCACTTTGCTACTTTGGGCATAGTCATTTAAGCATCAATATAATGTTTCAGACTTTCCTACAAATAGTTGCCGAATTCCATAATGAAACTTAATTGTATTTAGCTTTACAGAAAGAAGAACATGATCCCTCCCCGTGTAACAGCAAGCCTATTGAATTGATAGAAGGGGATTGTTCCACTGCAAGACACATAGTCATTTCAGTAACCTAAAAAGAGTTTATCCCAAAACATAACTTCACGAGAAAAAGACTACACTGAATAATTGGTTTTGCTTGCATTTAAATTGGAAGTTTGCTGCTTCTACCTCAAAACTATCAGTATATTGCAAGCTTGACTCTTTTTCCAAATTCATAAATCCCATATTAAAAAATAATAAAACAAACCACCACCAACCCCCACCCCTAACTCCATGTAGAAATCTCTTCTTATCTGTACCTTCCAGGATGAAACAACTACCTTAAAATATCACTACTACTTGAAGCATTACACATTTAATAGCACTTAAAAGCACTATCATACAAAAAAAAAATATCTGCATTACATACCTTCCATTGTGTTTGTAAGCATGCTGGCAATACTCATTGCTCTTTGCCTTGCACTGGGGTCTGTTAGGTAGTCCATAGGAACATGATAAGAACTGGAATGTCTCTTTCTTAAGTCAGTTTCKGTAGTAGTGCCCTGAAAATAAAACACTGATGAAATAGCTAGTTGATTGCATGTTCAATAACAGTAAGTTACTGTAGAACTCTCCTGGTTCAAAACACGGCTGTCCCACACCATACCCCAGTACTGTTGAGGGTTTGCAGTAGACTAAGATATGCCTGACTCTGACTAAGGTATGTCAAACGCTGCAGTAGGATTGCTTTTGTGCCTGAAGAACATGTTTTTTTAAGTATTTTGCTGAAACAGAGCTAAGGTATTAAAGCAGAATTCAAACTRAAAGATGTTCTACAATGCTTGTGGATCAGTGATCTCTGCTGCAAATACCTTTTTCTAAATGTGAAAATGCACAGCCCACACAGCTAACAATAAATAAACTAAGTGCATTTTGTTAAGATAATTCTTAATTCAGAATAAACTATGAATTTCCTAGCATATTTTCCAAACAAAAAAACCCCCTATTTAGTAATGTTGACATAAAAAAACCCATAGAAAAATTAGCTATATTACAGGAACACTATCACAACCCTTGTACTGTTAGAGTAACATCAAAAGTTTCATGTATGGACAGCAGGAAGCTAAACATTCAATTAATATATTCTATTAAGTAAATGTATTTTTTTTCCACTTTGATATCCATTCTGATGTACAAGTACAGAACCATTCAGTTAAGTCTAAGCATAATGAATCAATGGGTGTAAGACTACACAAACTAAATTTATTCAATGGTTCACTGTGCTATTCTGTTAATTCCCAGACAAKTAGCATGCATTTTCACACATTTAATTAATGAGAGCTGGAAAATTTCACTTTCTCCTGTAGCTTATGGCCAGAATATATGAAAGGARCATTCACGTCTTAGCCAGAAAGGTCATCGTTGCCATGCAACTAAATTTTGTGGTGACAGTGACTGATCATACAGGGTGAGAACATCATGCCTGAGCTACTGCAGACTTCCTTACATTGCTAGCAGTGGCTGCTTTATCAATCATCACCTCTGGCAGAAGCTGTCCTGTTGGCGATGTCAGAGCTGGCGGCCCACCAACTAAAGAAACTACTCCATTGCAATCCACAGTGCTGTGCATCTTCCCATTTGCTGGCAGTGCAGGTACTGTTCTCGATGACCTACTGGCCTGACTAATGTTACTGTTGCGCCGTTCACCRTGTCTATGAGGAACAAAGAGAGAATCTCTTCTGCTCTCGTTGTCTTCAAAAGTGCTGTGCTCGTCATCAGCAAARTCATTTTCTGATCCTACATCCTTTGCTCGACCTCTGAAGCTGAAAAGACTTGTTCTGCTGTTGCGCCTTGGGGAAAACAGGGAGCCCCGAATGCTCAGCAAAGACTGCAGGTAAATAAAAACAATTATTATCAGATGAAAATCCATTAAAATATAAMATTTTCATACAGAGGAAAAATCCCCAATGTCTTAAAGGGTAAGGCCATCTACAAAGAAATGAACTGGTACAGTCCCCCCTAACACACTCCCTTTTGGGTACTAAACAAGGAGAACATAAGTGACAGACAAACACTAGTTATTTTATTTCTTTTGATATATTAAATCAATCAGTTTAATYAGAGTAAAAGAAACTGCTTGACAGAATTGTTTCCTCTGCTATTCTGCATACGTTATTACAAACTGYTCATAAACGAAGTATATCTAGACACTATTTACCCCAGGCTGGCCTTAGTTTGACAGGCTGAGTAAATAAAATTTTAGGCAAATTTTCTGTGACTGAATCTGCACACAGAAGTATCTCCCAAATACTGCCTGGTTTGAAAAACACATATGACTAGTATTTTCAGATACTAGTCAAGGGGGCCATAATAGGTTTCTTATTTCTTTTTTTAAGTCTTAGCTATCCTGAATATGCAACAATTTGCCTGTAACTTTATATGAACAGGTTTGCTAATCTTCATCAATTTACTCATATGACTMAATTATCTGCTATATGAGGATCTCTTCAGTATTAGAGTCAAAATAATGCTCTAATCTTACAAATAATTATACATGTTCTAAATTTTAATTAATATCAGTAATTGCCTTGAATTAATTGATAAGTATTAGCCCTGATTTCACCCAAGATGTCTATGAACAGCAGAGGTGATGCATAATGAAGTAGTGTCTTTGTTTCTCTTCTGCAAAATTATCTTTGTGAACCTGAGCCCCATTGTTTTAGGGACTGCAAAATGCAGAACAAAAAGGCACTCTGCAAAGAACTTATCATTTAAATGCAACATAAMAGATGGATACAAAAAGAGAGGAAATACACAGAGGCAAAATTGATGAGTATGATAAACAGTCATCTTAGCTCACCTGAAGTCACTTCCCTGTCAAGCTTTCTGTAGGCAGCATGGTAAAAGAGAGTTTTAAAGAGGGATTTGAGGAAAGCAATGAAGTGTTCTGTGAAAATTTATGGGAGGTTCTTCCAAGCATGAASGGCAGCATACCAGAAAGAGCTCAAAGAAACTAGTTTGAAAATTTAACAGGARGTTATGAATGCTGGTATGGGTCAGTCAAAGCTGGGACTTGTTTACTGTAAGTACACAAGGTGAGTTGGGAGGAAATAGTTACATACTGTTTTATGGTATTAAAAAAAAATCTGGTAAATACGTTTAYTAGCAGATTAGAGAAAAGCCATGGGATAGGTTAGTGCTCTTTGCAACAACATTTTTGATGAATACAGCAGTAAAGAGGTCCAAGTTAAAAATGATTCACAGTTGTGGGTCCAGAACAGAGTTAAAAAAAAAACAACAAAAAGAGAGAGAAGGGATCTAGCAAAAGGCMTTGTGGAAATCTCTTAGAAAACTATCACAGGGGTAAGAGGATTTTCTAAACCAGGAGAATTGAGAGGAGACAAAGTTATGAATGTTAGGAAGAATAAGATTTCAAGAAGAATAAAATGGTCATTTACATTGAAAGAAAATGAAATGCCAAGRGAAAAGTCAAAGATGATATATAAGCCTGAGTTTTCTCTAGGARAATGTTATTAGAAACTGGTGAGTGGAACTTCAGTTTAGTGGTTAGCATCCAGAGTGAAAAGGAGCTAGGGTTGGAAAACCAGAGGGGAGGTGATTTCTAGACTGTCATAGTCAAACAACTGTAAATGAGCTTGGAGATGAAAACATTAGAAGAACAAATWGTATGAGGAATGCTTCTTTTCTTACAAGATGGATGAATTGAGCTGCAGTTGAATAAGGCTGCAGTTTGAATGAAGAGACAAGCAAGAATATGCACCTAAGGGATCAGATGGATCTTCAACATGAAGTTGAAGTCAATTGRTATGTGTGAAAATTTGTATAAGGAGCAAAATGAATCATGAACTAAATTCAGCAATGAAGTCTCACAGAGATTAATTAGACAGTTAAAAACATAAAACGTTGGCAGACCAAGGAGGTGGGGAGCAGGGAAGGATGTATACTATTGATAAAGGAAATACATTAGGCAGTGAGTGGAAGTAGTGGCAGAAATAGAAAGTCGAAAACATTATATTCCTACCACAGTCTGATCTGAGGACAGCCCTTAGTAAGAAAATATTTGATGAAGAGGTCTGAGCTTCTTTGAGAATGGGAGCTGGAGAAAACCATACATGAAGAGAATGAACACTCATGATCTATTAAGGGAGGAAACAGGCTTTCCAGAGACAGAAATAGAAGAGGATTAAATAGGGAGGAATGAGTTTAGTAATAATGACTAAAAAGAGGGAGAAAGCGAGTCATAAGGACCAGGGAGAATTGAGAAGGTGGGGATAGAAGGAAGGAGCATACTGAGGCACAAAAAGGGGCAGAAAAAAAAGAGAATGTATGCAAGATCTGGACTTGCAGGGCTAAGGGGGGAGTGAGAGGTGGGCAAATGAAGAGRAGCTTTGAAAACTGTAGCAGACATAACATTACAAAACTATCAAATGAAATAAATGGGAGATGCAGATGGCATTCTGAGTCACTGGTGTTTCAATGTAAGAGAACACATGCAAAGACACATTGCCACATATTTCCACCTTTAAGATAACACAATTAATGGTCACACATCAATTAATTTTTCAAATGTCACATGAGCATTAAYGTTATTTCTACTGAGCTTTTTGCATCCCAAATTTTAATACTTCCCTGATTTGAAACATTACATTTTGTATGTATGCACCATGTTTTGAAGCCACTCATCATGCTCAATACATCCAACTTGATGGGGAAAGAGGTCCATTTTCATTAAGGAGCTTGAAATACAGCTCAATTAATATACATGATTTTGATTTTTCACGCATGAATTCAGAATAAAACCAAAATCTCTCAAATTCTTACAGTTTTATATTTGGCTGCAAGTTTTTACTTGGTTAGTCTTAGATTTAGAGTATTAATGAATCCATGGTATCTTGCAAGAATTAGCCAAACTACTTTACAAGGCTTTGTTTCTATGATGAGTAGACAAAAAAGGTGTTTAAGAGGTAATAATACTATGGTACCTGGTGTGGGGAAGAGAATCTCTTYTCGTATGTCAGTCTATTCCCCTCAATGGAAAATCGGAAACCTTTCTTTTTGATGCTGTCCTCTGATTCAGACTTGTGAAATTCTTCCCCATCCTTCTCCTCGCCTTCAGACTGCTCTTTTTGCTTTTTTTTCTTTCTTCTATTCCTTCTCTCTTTAGCACTCTTTGAGCTCAGTTTTGATGCCTCAGAAGAACTTTCGGAGAATCCACCTATTCCACCTACTCCGCTATAATCTCTCGAGTCAGCTGCTGCAGCTGCTGCCGCCGCCTACACATACAAGCACATGYGCAATTTACAGCATTTATACAAATACACACACCACTCACTATTCCAAATTTACTGCCACTCTTAAAAAAATATTTTGAAATAAAAGCAATCATTCCATTTCACTGAACCCAGGATATCATAAGAAGTATAATTCAKGAAATACCACAGGAATCATAATTTGCCACTGCTCTATAAACCAGGAGCAAGAGTAACCCAAGGGAAAATTGTGCTGTCAAAAAARCAAGTTAACAAGCATCTGTTTCAGATTGAAGCAACATGTTGAAATGAATTTTTCATCTGAAGTGCTGTGTAAAAATAAAGAATCAAGGCTCAAACAAGTGATAAAATCCTTGTTAACAGGAAGTAGCATGTTTCTTACAACATTTTGATGGATTTTGAATACTCCCATGTCTATTAAAGATCTTRTGTAATATTGATATCTCAGTTTTGGAAATAATAATCAGAGATTTGAGCTAAACTACACATTATTACATACTTGTTGCTGTTTGATTTTTAAAGTGTTTGRAGCATTTCATTCGCACTTATTTACAAGATGTGGTTAAAAAAACCCAAGAAACAACAAACCATAATTCCCACCCAACAGATAGCAATTGACCAATGACACCAAAAATTCTGGTTGCTGACTTTAGTCTTGTGCTTATATGAAAGAMATAGTTCAACTTCTGCTCTATGCCAAGCAGACACTTTCAATTATTCTGTGAAAGATTTAAGAGCCTTCCAAAAATGAAAAGAAATTTTAAAGCACCATGTAATCATTACATTTGTACCACAACATTTCTTCAGTTTCTCCACTTTTTCCAGTTCTCTTTAATACTGGAAAGCTATGGCTTTCTGCTGTGAGAGATGGGTAGRGAGTAGAAGAAGCCAAATATTGCTGAAGCACCATCACCTACAATAGTTTTGCTTCTGTTACTTATATAAGCAGAATTACTCTTTGGATTTTTTTTCCACATCTCCACTTCCATTTCAGACAATCGCAGAATGGTTGATGTTGAAGGGAACCTCTGGAGGTCACCGTGTCCAACTCTCCAGCACAGACAAGCTCACCTAAAGCAGGTTGCTCAAGGACCATTTCCAAACAGCTTTTGGTTATCTCCACAAGCGCTCTGAGCAACTTGTTCAAGTGCTCAGTTAAAAAGTTAATTTCCATTTCCAATTTGAAAATCCTTGGTTATTATTTTTGTCACAAATTAACAGGTTCACTCAAACCAGCAAAAACAGTGCAATGGAAAACATTAAAGATTGTTTACAATATGAAAGAATTTTTGAGATAAAGTAATTTATTGTTAAGAGGGACTAAAAGTATTCTTATATGGGGACATAAAGCATCTGTTCACAGTCATTAATGGAAGAAGAAATTTTGCTTTACAGGGATACCTGAGCTTCTTCCTGTTGCTTTTTCAGTTGTTCCAGCATTTGCTGAAATTCTGCCTCTTTCTGCTCTGCTTCTTCCATGGTTGCTTGATTCTGTTCTTCGTAGGCCATGGCGACCACAGCCAAGATCAAGTTGATCAGGTAAAAAGAACCCAGAAAAATGACCAAAACAAAAAATATCATGTATGTTTTCCCAGCAGCACGAAGAGTCTGGAGAAAAAGAGACAATACACTTCTTTAGCATACTTTAAATTCTGTTGCATAATAAGTTAGTCTCCATGTTATAATTTAGAAATACATTGTAAGATTGATTTATGTTAGCGTAAGATTATTTATTTCCTTTTTCCTTATAGAAATAATATTATATCCTGGATACATATGAAAAAGTCTTAAKCTTTGTGTCAAGGTAGATCCAATTCTGAATACTTCAGAACTTATACCAATGAGAATCTATACATCTATATTACAACCTCTAAATGTAACAGTAGGTGGGGCCACTGATCAGCATCTTACCTTCTTGTCTCACTAGTCCCAAACTGCATAGCCACAAAAATATTGCATTATACAAAATGTTACTGTGGACAAATTACTGTCCTTCAGGTAAGGATATGTGTAGTTCCAAACWACATATTTGTACTAGACTGCAAATCAATTTAACATAGCATCTATTTACAGCATTTTTGGGTAAGAAACTTTAACAACTTAAGTTCATTTATTCATTTGGGTAAACAAACAAYAATGATTAACCATCTTCATAAAATAGCAGCTATTCCTTATTATGTATTTATGAAGCACATGGGGGAAACTAAATCATGAATAAGGGCCTTATTGTTTTAGACAATAGTTTACATATATGAAATTAAAGATGATTGYTGTTCCAAAGACCTTAGGGACAAGTGAATGAAAATAACTATGCAAGTACTATGTAGTAATGGTATTGGTGATGGTGCTGTTTATTTTAATAAGTCCTCACCAGCTGGTAAAGATTCTCCCAAAAGTCCTGAGTCATCAATCGAAACAGAGACAAGAATGCCCAACTGAATGTATCAAAACTTGTGTAGCCATAGTTGGGGTTTCTACCAGCTTTCACACATATATATCCTTCTGGGCATTGACTACAAAAGAAGAGGAAATGCTATTTTTAACAACTACTCTACATTATGATATGCTGCAGTAAAACAAAATCGTTCAGGAGTACCAGTTGCTAACGAAATTATGAACAAGTAAAATGTTATTCTACATAACTAAGATAAAAATATATAGCTTATTGTTTTTCACTTTTTAATTCTACTTTCTAATAATATTTCAATGCTTTAACAATATAACTAATAATATTCTACCCTTCCCCACAATTTTTCATAACACATCTCCACCAGGACAAGAGAAGAACATCAAATAGCATGGCTGATAAACAGTTGTCATCAAGCTGGCAGCAACATTTATGCACAAATCATTCATGTGGTTACCTTTACAAAAGTAGCCTAAGAGGCTGATGGAAGTGCCTGTGTAAATTCAAATCAGAGATGGTYGTATTTAGGTATAACTTCAAATGCAAAATATTCGTAATTTGCAACTCTACAGTACACTTAATATTAAAGTTGACTACCTGAGCTATTCTAAGTAGCTAATTATTTTTCCTTGATGCTTAATGAAAAATTCTGATCATTTTCTTACCCTGCATCAGAGCTATTGCCACACAGCAGTGCATCATTTTGTCCTTCCAAGAAGTAAAAATGACCTGTTTAAAAACAAAAATTAAAAACATGATGAGAAGGGTAATATTTATGCCTAATGGAGATTAAGCAATTACATAGACTTTTACACTTGAAAGAAATTAGCAGAGCTAACAAACTGTTCAACTGCAAAACATAGTGGTTAGGAATGAAAAAAAACATGGAAAATATTATTKTGATAGGAAAATTACTTTCTACAGAATCTTCAAGTTAGCCTTTCTTCARAAAATAGAAGGGTAGTTACAGAGTTAATTTGCAGCAACCTAACCAAATTAATAAGATACAATGGGTGGAATACCAAATTGTGTATGTTAGCAAACAAAAAAAAACAGGAAAATGAGGCAAAGATAAGGGCAATTCTCTGCATTTATGCATTTTGATATATAACATTTAGTATTATTCATTCATAACTGCTCCTTACGAATCATTTTATCCAAGTATTCCTTGAAAAAAACCTGTGTAAAAATAAGAGGGAAGAGATTTTTCCCCCTGTACTCAGCACTGGGGCGGGGCACATCTTGAGTACTGTGTCCAGTTCTGGACTCCTCAATTTAGGAAGGATATTGAGATGCTGGAGCACGACCAGAGAAGAGCAACAAGGCTGGTGAAGGGTATGGAATGCATGCCCTGTGAGGAGCAGCTGAGGGAACTCRGGRTGTTTTGCCTRGAGAACAGAAGGATCAGGGGAGACCTTGTCACTCTCTACAGCTGCCTGGAAGGAGGATGTAGTAAGCTGGGGTCATCTCTTCTCACAGACACCCAGGGACAGGATAAGCAGTCATAGTTTTAAGCTGTGCCAGCAAAGATTTAGGTTGGATATCAGGAAGAATTTCTTCACAGAAAGGGTGATGAACTATTGGAATGGACTGCCCAGGGAGRTGCTGGTGTCACTGTCCCTGGAGGCATTCAAGAAAAGACTGAATGTGGCACTAAGTGCCATGGTCTGGTTGACAAGGTSGTGTTGGTTGGCTCAGTGATCTTAAAGGTCTTTTCCAACCTYACTGATTCTGTGATAACWCAACATGCTGAAGAAATTTCTAATTGGAGAAACCAAGCTTTTATTGTACATTACACAAAAGTACTACACAAAATTCTGCAGCAGAGGAATGTCCTTCAACTTTTAGGCTAACTAATAGGTAAGGTAAAACAAAATTTAAAGACATGGAAGTCATAAAAGTCCCCTACGTATTCTTCTATTTTATTTGCAGCAGAAAAGGTTCACCATCACTTCCTAGTTTGGGATWCATAGGGTAAAATGGGAATCTCTAATGGAGATTTTTGGGTCAGGTGGCACATTAAGCTACAGTTGCTAGAATTAGGTATGTTCTGGCTGTTCTCAGGAAGCAGATGGTTCCGTGATATTCACTGCCAGCTGGCATGGACTAGCTTAGCTGGCGTGAACTAACTGAGGGCTAATGCTAAACAGACAAGCAGGGAATTGCAACCAGTTCCTACTGACTGCTTCTACTCTGTCACCACCAGTGTACAATAGAGGCAGCAAAAAATCTGCCTATTTTAAAGAGAGAGAGAAATTACATCCATAATTTATATATCTGCAAATGTAGTTTCAGATATCAGATAAGAAATCAGTGGATTTTCAGAYGTTCTGGTGATCACACAGTCAGACCCTGTGAAAGAATTGAGCCCTACTTAAAAAGTTTAAGAGGTTTAAAGATGCAATCAGGTTCAAACAGGACCTGTGTTTGGGCCTAATTCACATTCTTATGTGTCACAGCTACTCCTCTGGAAAGGAGGAGATCCAGCTGAACAATCCAGTCAGCTCAACTTTCAGTCTGTTACTCTGGAAAAAACTTAAATAATTTTTTTTTTAAATACAAAAAAAAAAAAAATTGTAAACGGATTAAGTATATGG